TTGACCCCGATTTTCTCCTGAACGCTCCGAAAAATTTTCGAGATATTTTCAGAATGGGAACTACTTAGTAGGATCTATAACTTTGCCCATACAATTACCCTCGGCACTTTCCATTTATCACCCTCAGTTTTCCAGAAATCCTCTTAGAAAACTGAGGTATGGAAACACAAAGAAGCCTCAAAAAACGTTGAAGTACATTCAATTCTTCATGCTGAACAAGAATATAAAGTCATAGAAGCTCCGTTTTCTTTTCATGAAGTAAGGTTTTAACGGGTTTTCTGGAAGAATGAGGGTGATAAATGGAAAGTGCCGAGGGTAATTGTATGGGCAAAGTTATAGATCCTACTAAGTAGTTCCCATTCTGAAAATATCTCGAAAATTTTTCGGAGCGTTCAGGAGAAAATCGGGGTCAAACGTCAGGAATTTCTGAAGTAGATTGAGTACCACTCGAATGTAAAGTCAGATCGAGACTGAATTTCTTCACCATCAGAATCAACTCATCAAGAGCTACAATTTGATGTATAATTATGCGATGTTTCGTTCATTTTCACCGACTTCGGTTTCACCCTCACCAAAAACTTGAGGTGTCTGGAAAACCACTTTCCACATATTTTTTCAAAAAAGCGTTAGCGAGACCTTTAGGTTATTTTTGATGCTCTACACGATAAGGCAAGTGAAAGTTTCGCAGCAGGAAACTCTGTATAAAGTGGATGGACCTTTTTGGAAGCACCCACTTACAACTTGTCTACATGTATTATCTTTAGAAATCACCCCAGCAATTACATTTTCAAATAACTGAAACGTAAATCCGTCATAGCAAACTCTATATATGCTTTGACTGTAGGGAAAAAGGTAATTAAACTAAAAAACAATTAACGAAGAGTAAATTTACAGAGTTAAATCGGTGTGTACTATAAAAAGTTTTACTATTACAGCTCAGTCGCGCAGTGCCACTCTGTATAGGAAAGTGTCGCTACGTTGTGATTAGAGAACAAAAGACAAATAGGATTTGACATATAGATTCAATGAAGAAATAATGTTTTTCCCCAATAGAATGTTGTGGAAAGCAATGACTAATTTTATTACTGAAATCGTTTTGGAAAATCATTCTTTCAACAATACATTTCAGTGATTTTGTGAACAACTCTTAGATTGACGTTCAATGTACAATGAGTGACGAATCGGTACGTAAACCAAAGTCAGCATTTTCAAATTTCCAAAATATAGAAGATAACATATAACTTTGGTAAATTATAACAGGCACTCCGCAGACGTGGATATGAATACCAAAGGCATTCATGACAGGCTTTTTAAAATATCTCTATCAATCGTTTCGATCTCTTTTAATTTCGTTTACAACTGGCTTTTAATTTCTTATTGAGAAGATATTTGTGATCTAAGCTTTAGTGCAGAGCCATGTCAATTTAGAAGGAATCTAGAAGAACAATGCAGCCTTCACTATCCACTTTGCTACTCTTTTCTCATCTGAATGTTATCATTAGATATTTTAGACTTGTGTAAATGAAATATGAGCATGGTGATTTCCAAACCACGAAATAAAGTATTATTCCGTTATTAAAGTTATTTTGTTTGTTTTAGTTTGATCATTTATCTGATCATTTACAATCGATACAAATAGAAGATGAAGATGCATCACGTTATTATATTAATTATATAAGTGAATCAGACGAAGATGAAGCTGGTCTCCCAGATTCGACACAAATTGATGATGATATCGACATATCATTATTACCACGAGACTTAATCATAACACCAATCCCACATGAGTTATTTACAAATGATCATCTAAAAGTAAATAGATAAACAGCTCCCATCTTTTAATAATATATCCGCTTGGAAATAGATCTTAAACCAGAGTACTCTTTGTTAGTATTTGAATTTTTACTACAAAATTGATACAATGGATGTTTTCTTACAATAAATGGGTTGCTCTTAGCATAGCTGTGAAAGTATATTCATCAGCAAGATAATTCTCTCTACAGTCACCGCAAACATTCTCCTATCAAACCCATTTTTATCGATTACAATCTGGAGTCTTCTATTACTAACTGAAGTGATGAACTAATCGCATTATCGTTCTATTTTAGACCGAATTTGAAGCTATATTTCGACAATTTGATCCGAATATAACTGTATTATATTTAAAATTTTTTCAACGTGTTCGTATCACATTTACAAACTCATTAAACGCTCTACGTGCTCGTATTAATATACATGAATATGATTTCCATGGATTTAAATTTAAAACATATTTTGCTTGTGTAAGTTTCTCTTATTTGTTTTAGTGATAGTTCTGTTTACATTTCTTCTTTAGCCATTGCCTATTCGATCAACAGAGACTTATCTACGTCCTCCCGAACCCGAAAAATTATTTCTAATCTCACCACCAGTCTCTCCGCCAATTGGTTGGGAACAAAAAGTCGAAGACCCACCAGTGGTTGATTTTAATCTATTGGCAGCTATTGCACAATTACAGCCAAGTATGTAAGACAAAAAGAAAAAACTAACTTTTATAACATTATCTATATCTTTTTTTTAGATGAATCTCATGAGGTATTACCGAGTCAAGGAAATTTGCCGAAGATAATTATACATACGTGTGAGGATTTGGGTCCACAGGATGAACACAGTAATGCATTAAGACAAAAATTAATAAAACCAACTTTAGTTCAAACAAGACGACCTCCATCAGCTCAATCTCAGAGTTAGACAATTATCAAACAATTATTTGCAAATCAGTAGTTTCTTAGAGAATAAAAGAAATAAATTTCTATTGCTGCAGTTTTTTTTTGTACGAAGATTTTTATGCGAATCTCTAGTCTTTTCTTGTTACTTTTATGATGAATTTGAATAGTTGATAGACATTGTATCAGTGATACTGCTTGTACATACATATAATACTCTTAATTTATTCCCTATTAATTTTGTCTAAAAAGACAAAACCAATGCGTGCTCTCTGTTTTTGTTGACTATAGCAAAAACAGAAACACATTTTTCAAACTTGCTTGAACTAAAAAGCTGGTGAAATTTTATTAACATGAATCATTGTAATGAAAATAAAGAAAACGGTGTCATTGTTAATGAAAATCAATTATCATGCGTCGATAATAAGAATCAATATGAACTAACGGGTGGGTCAGATTAAACAGATCACTTTTATTTTCTCTTTTTGTCGCAAAAATCGTTTTAAAACCCCGTTATGATTAGGCCCATTCGATAGAGAATTAAATGCACTACAAAACTGTCGATTTGTTTTTCAAATAACTTTTTTTCTTGGTGCAAAATTTAAAAGATTAACATCTAGTCAATCGTCCAGCTACGATGGTCAGAAAATGAAAAACTGATGACAAATTTTTAGTAATGATTTCGCTGAAATTTCATATATGTCAAAAGTTCTTCGTAAAATTCTGCATCTTTTGATGTATATTTCAGAATTTTAGAAGAAATATTTTGCGAGAAAAATGTTTGAAGTTTGAAGTAAAAAATATGAAAACACCAAAGAAATCCAATTTCTGGCTGACCTATGATATTATTCTTTTTTTATTCAAAACAACCTAAAAGTTTTCACTGTTCTACTTAACAGTCACACCATTCTGTTCAAAATTAATTCTACATGCGACGGCTTGAGAATAAACGTTTCATAGACGAAGTCTGACTTTGGAAAACATGAGTTTCCAAAATTTATCCAGAAATATCACTAGATGTTACCTCCAAACCTATTTCTCGTGAACGCTAGCACCAAGAACGTTGAAAAGGTCGTGGAAGCACAGACCACAAGATTCTTCATCTATTGATGTTAAATACTTTACTTTTAGTATAGGTTTACACAAATCGATAGATGTTTGCAGAAAATAAGAGATCGCAGTTGGACAATTGTTTAGGTGTTAATCTTTTAAATTTTGTGTCAAACAAAAACATTATTTGAAAAACAGAGGCGACAGTTTTGTAGAGCAATGAATTCTCTATCGAATAAGCTCAAAACGATTTTTAGTACCTTAAAAACAGAAAACAAAAGTGGTTGGTTTAATTTGGCCCATCCATTATTATTGTTCGTCTCTAAGCATTACAATTCTCTCAATATCTTGTGTATGACAGATTTCAAGTGTTACTACATATTAAACAAGGTATACTCTAACAATCATTCAACAAAGCTTCAGCTGATACCGAGAGATGTAGTTTAATAAATTTAAGAGCAGGCAGTTGCACTAATACATTCTTAGACCACATAGGATTAAGTAAAACGTAAATCGTATTAAGAAAAGACTATGGCACCATATATATATATATATATATATATATATATATATATGCTGTAATTTATTGAAATAGGAACAGATTTCACATCGATTTTTCAATTGCTGATATTTATTGTGTTTTAAAGAAACATCGAGGATATTATCTGCGTCATATTTTTTTTCAATATTTTTTATGAAAAATGTTGCGTTGATTACGAAACTCTTCGAAAAATCATTGGTAATTGGTTATGTACTTTTAGTAATTCAATCTATTAAACACTTATTTACGAACTGTTGGTATTTTTATATCCTGTTCAGCTCAGGATACTTCAAGTTTTGTATTAGAATGGTTTTAGAAATAGCCTATTTTCAAACTGAACTTATGAAAAATAACAACAAATACCGTACATTGAATTGATATTAGTCTATATCAAGGTAAAAAAAATCAAGTTTGACGTTCCTGCTGTGTCATTCAATCACGGTCATGTATAGTCTAATATCGTTTATAATTATCGCTAAAAATGCGAGAATAGTCTTATATTAAGATCCATTTCAATGTTGCTTCTAACACATTGTCTCAAGTGTTTAACTACTTGACATTTTTTTTGTTCGTATGTATGACTTATTGTTGTATACGTGTGTATATGAGACGATATTCTTATTCGGATGTTTTTAAACAATTTGTCAAACGTTTTTTTGTCTCTCAAGTAGAAGTTTAACTCACAACACACTCGGTTTGATCATTTACGTCACATAAAATACTATTATAGACTAATGAAGAGGACTTCTTTACTTTTGTTGAGAAGTGGAAAATATAATTAATTTGAGACGAATACTTACATAGAGTATAAAAATAATCTCATCATAAGTGTTGAAAAGAAATAGAAAAGTGGATCTGGTGTTCTGTTATTCATATCATTTACCTGTTTTATATTTTGAATGTTCGACGATAAAGCTGGAACCCTATAAATCATGGTTAAGTCTCTATAAACATAACTAATTTAAAACAAAGTTATGTTTAATAGAGTCAAATATCCAATGAAATAGAGGGCCTCCAGCGGTAGACGTTTGCCCCGTAGCACAATCCTAATCTGATATGTGATTGCCGGGTTTTTTTACCAAACGAACCATATGAAGACCAGTACGTTTTCAACGAATTTAAAAATTCGTTGACGACGAAGTAAAAATCTTGGAATAAAGCTTAATAAGTAACGGAGTAATTACACTCGTGTTAAACCTATAAAAACTAGTTATGCAAAGATTTCAATGTTTTCATATGCCTATTTATAGTAGGTAAAAAATGATTGCACAACACAATTGAAACAAAATTATAAGAGATATGATTCAAAATATTCTACATTATTCGAGAATAACCAAATCTTTTTTTCTCTTCTTTTATTGCAAAAACGTGTTGAAATAACTTGTCATCGTTAGTAAGAGCAAAATTTACACAATGACATATTAATAATAATAATATTTATACTCTAATGTAGTATCACTGAAATTCAGATCAGAATAATACTAGTATAGCAAAGAGGAATCATGAATAAAATTTTTGAAAAAATGCTACAGTCTTGATATAATAGAGAAAAAACATAATGTCATTTGAAATACGAAAAATTACTAAAAAGTAGTATTAGAAAAGAACAGTGGCACATTCTCTTCTGAAAGCTCGCTCTATGGGCACACTTAAAAAGTATACAGTCGTCTTTTTCTTTATTTATGCATATATATCCTCTTATATATTCAAGATCTCTCCTTTTTTCCGTATTTATGTGCAACAGTTTGAATTTGAATTTTATCCAGTCGAGCGGTATTCATCATTCTCTGTTTGATCCTATTGTATATACTTTGTTTTATTTCATTTACTCCATTGTTGTCTATTGATATCTCAATACGATGACAAATAGAAACAAAGAACAAAAACAATCTTTGCCATGTTAATGATAGCCTCTATATATAGATCAATAATGACAAAATGGTACTTCGTTGTCGACATTTTAGAACAACGTAAAAACAAAACAGTGAGACAAATGTCAAGTACAAATAATATCTATAGAGAAATTCTCTGTAGAATTGTTAATATGACATCATTGTTTTAAAATACAATGATTAACGATAGTTAAACCATCTGTCGATTTATTCTCTATATATTCACCGTTAGAAATTTTTGAGTAAAAATTCAAATTAGTTGATGCAGCAGCATTTAACAAGTCTTAAAACTTTTTTTTAAAGGAACATTAGAAACTCTTTTAGATGTATTTGATCATTTTTACACCTACATCTAGCGTTCATAATCCGATCAAAGATCGTGTAAATGAGTTGTAGCTGAATTATTTATCTAATCCAATTCACTTTCTTTTATTTTTGCTATAACAAAATCATTTGATATCAAACGAATAGATGAAACATAAAAATTAGTTCCCAAATGATCTATCTATAGTTTCTTTTTAATCTTATTTCGTGTGTGTGTGTGTGACAAATTTCATCGCAGAATAAATAAGTTCACATCACGGTCGAACAACTGTCCATCTACACCTTTAGATCGTATGTTTGTCAGATGACTTCTTTATATGTAGAGTGTCGATTATTTCTACTAGTGTTGTTCAAAGGTACATATATACAACACTAATTTATTATCAAAATTTCCTTTTCTTCTCATGGTAGTCTGTGATTTGTTCTAAGTACTTCAACCAAATGTAATGATGATAATTTTTTTTCTTTTCAAATCAAATTGTTCTTCTCTTTTCTCATCTAGTTGACACATACATTGAACGTTATTTATTAAATGATACATCATTTCATCCTAGCGGAAATAGAGTTCATTAAATAATTATTGACTTATCATTTTCAAGGACGTACAGGATATATATTTTTTTCAAGGACTCGATAAATTGTACATAATTTCTATTCGATATTATGGGCTTAAAATACTTTTTGAGAAGCTTAGATCGATAATTTTCCTTATAGAAGAAAATTTTTTTTTAATTCATTGAATTCCACATTAATATCAAGCAATCTAAAGTTATCAATGTAGATAGATTCTAAAGTATCATTTTTACGATGTTTGTTTTTATCCTCGGAAGTTCAATCACATTCAACTATTGTTGTTATAAAAGATTTGTATACCAATATGGTTGTAAATCACTTCAAGTGATAAAAGAGATCAGAACAAATATTAAAATAGTGAAAAAAAAAAACGTTTTATGATGTCACTCTATCATGGATGAATAGTGAAAGAGAAGATGTACGCGTGTATTATTGTCGTAAAACTGTTCTCTATTTAAACAATGTTTATCACACACAATTTTTGATTGTCTCTTTTACAATATTATTCTCTTGTTCAATGCATTTAATCTAAGAAAAAGTTGTTAACAACTTTAAATGTATAAAGCGGCATTCTTTTTGTTTTATTTTTTATTGAACGTGTTCAATCAACAACGTTGACGATAGAGAGATCGTTATCACTACTTT